AGGAGGATTGGTGAATGTTGGTGATTGTTGATGAAGATAGTTGATGAATTCGTGAATTAAAACGGAGTTTTGATACGATATTTATAGAGAAAAACAGCCAAAAAAGATAATTTATCAAAATAGAGTCTGAAGATCGCAAAAACAACTTAGCGCCAGCCCTGGCTCATTGGCACCAGGACCAGTGGCTAGCGCCAAGGGCTAATGGATGGCGTCTGGCGCCAATCCTGGTTCCAGGCGCCAAGGCCTGGGTTTGGACGCCAATTTGGAATTCAACGCGTTTTCGAAAATCTGATAAATTTCCCGTACTGGAAGATAAAATAATATAATTTCAGTCGAAAATGCTATTTGATCTAATTAAAACTCTAAAGAATCCTAATTGAATTAAGAATGATAAGACCTTCTAGAATGTTCTAGAAGACCAAAACCATTCCTAATTACATTAGGAATGATAAATCATATTAGGCCCTCCCCTAGATCATTGGGCCGTACTTAAAACTCAAACCGGACCCAGTTTAGTAAATTGGCCATAAATTCCTCAATATTCATCGGAATTGGGCTTATAATATATCGTTGGAAAGGTCTTTGCAAGCCCCATCCAACTACACCACTATTGGACCCATATCATGGACAAACTAAACTGGATTGGCTGTTTTCTTAAAATAAAGTTTTCAAAAATAGAGAGAAGAGAAAAGAAAAGAAAAGAAAGTAAAACTTTCCGCAACACTAGACCTTTCAACACTTTCGTTTCATTCGATTATGATTCGACGTGAAAGGTACTCATCACCGGGTTTGGTTTTGGGGAGACACAAATGGGTGTCTACAGTTCCCATTTTCACGTGAAAGAGAAAGAGAGGAGAGGGGAAAGAGGAGAGAGGATTAAATAAAAATAATGTTTTGGGCTTATTTTGAGTTGTTGGGATATACATTTGAGTTGTTGGATTATACATTTTTGGTTGTTGGCTAATACATTTTGGGTTCTTGGCTGATACAATATTCATATTAGTCATTCAAACGAACATATTAGCCAATTAATGTTTGATATCAGTTAACATCCGGAATATATAAAACATTAATAAAAAAAAGTATCAGCCTACAAAAGATAGATATCTGCCAACAAGAAGAATATATCAGCCAACAAATGTACTTATCAGCCAACAGAAGGAACATATCAACTAACAAATGAAGCATATCAGCCAACCAAAGGATGAAATCAGCAAACAAAGGCAACAGGTAAGCCAACAAAATAAAACATATAAGCCAACAATTAAAATATAAATATCAACCAACAAAATAAATATATCAGCCAGCTAAAGAAACATACAAGTCAAATGATGTCTGATATCAGAATTATCAAAAAAAAAAAAAAATCAACCAACAAAAGGAATATATTAGCCAACACAAAAACCATATGTGCCAACAAATGACACATATCAGCCAACACATAAAACATATAAGCCAACAAGTAAAACATATAAGTCAAGCCAGTTACATGTAAATTTGCGTGCGGACGTCCGCCCCCAATAGCTTCTCTATATAAAAAAAATATCATCCATGCATAATTCACCTTATTTTCACTTTATGTTAAGCCTAATATTGTATAGCTAATGGGCCAATGTTATCGGCCTTAATATCTCGTTAGGTTGTATATATATACTTGTTCATATAGTAATACAACTAAGGAAAATCAATTCCTGACATGGTATCAGAGACAGGTTAAAATTATAATCCCTAAAACTCTCAATTCATGAATAATAGGTTTTGATAAGTGTTATCAAAATTCAAATTACAATTAATATAAGTTTTAATAAGGTCTAATAAATTCAAATAAGTATAGTAAAAATAAGGTGAATGAAGCACATCCTAATATCATGAATGATCTATCTAAATACTATGTATATGGTATACATTAATACATAGATTAAATGGTGGACATAGGACTAAGTTTTTTAAAAGAATAACGGAGTAAAATTGTAATAATTTTTTAATTAGAGGAGTTGAATCAATGCAACCAATCATGTAATCAACTCGAGTATGCTAGGGTCATGTATGTATGGGGTATGATTTTCAAGGCTATTGCTCATGGCCCATTATGGGCCGTGCCGAGCTCGTGCCGCCACCGGCACGACGGTCTACCTGTGGGCCGTGAACACAAATTTCGGAATCGGCACGGGCACGACATGAGGCATGGTGGCCAGCCCGTGGGTCGGCACGCCGGCACGACACATGGCACGAGGGCACGACGCGTGTTGTATTTACATTTAATAATATTGGCCCGCCAGGCATGTGGGCCGTGCCGTGGGCTGGGGTGTGCCAAATTTTGGCACGGAACGGCCCGCCGCGGAGCCGGAATGACACGCCCACCACTGCGGCACGGCTTGACACGGCCCGCGACGGCACGACACTGCCCATTGCCCATCTTTATGGCCCATCAATATAATTTAAGGTATTGTACTCGGTATCTAGTGTAATACCCGAATATTTTATGATTTTATATAATATATTTTATAAAAATATAGTTTATTTTTATTTATTATATAACTTTTCTAAGCTCATATTTTTATTTAGAGTTCATAAAGTTTTAAAATCCTATCTTGTTTAAATAGCACTGTACAATTCAAAATGTATATAAATTATTTTAAACCCTAAAATTATTCTTAACTCTCAAAAAAAAAAAAAAAAATCCCTTGTCGTACGAATCTCTTTTTGTGTGGGTGATGATCTGACTTCCATGATCCAACCCCAAAAACTTGATTTTTCATTGAAATTTTTCTTTCATTAGCATTCTCCAATCTCCAGTCAATATTTAATTCTCCAAACTCCATTGGATTTGCAAAATCAAAGCCCACAAATTGCAACGTCCATGCACATACTTTGTCTTGAATGTTGTGGTCCGATTATAAAGTTGTATAGATAGCTCACTTAGTTTATTGGGTTGTAATTATTGGGATTTTGTAAACCTTATCACTTGACAAGTTGTTGAGTGTAGCGGTAATACCTTCAATTTAGGTGTATGCTTCCGCTATTTTATTTAAAGATTGTTTATTTTTCCTTTAATTCTTATTTATTATTGGTTAGTAAATCGGGAGTGTTACATCTAGTATCTACCCTTAGCATAGTGAGCAACTTGAAGATCAACAAAATTTTGCTTTGTAATTTTTCACATTCCAACACATACATTATTATAGGAATAGATAATCAATATTTTTAAATGTCTATGCTAGTATGCGACTTGCATTTTGCTATCACATTTTGTACGTAATGATAATGTATCACATTGAACATAGGATAAGCGTAAATCTTAATTTAAAATTTTCGCCCCGTGTCTATGGAAGTCATGGTCGAGCCCAGAGTATCGATGAATGATTGATTATTAAGTTTTACTTAGGAGTTCGTTTGGAGTGAAGTGACCAAATTGGTATATACTTCCTCACAACATACAATCACTAAAACCCAATCATAGTTAGTAAGTGCAACAAAATATCTTTTGTTTGCTCAAGTGTGTGTATATTAATTGAAAGTGGGATTTAAAACAAGTGTTTGGATAAATTAAAGGACTTTATTTCTTTGTAATTTCTTTTGCTTTCTAAAAGCACATGGTGATAGAGGTGTTGACGCACAACCTTAAAGTTTTAGTCACTTAAAAAGTGAAACATGTCCCACAGATCAGGAAGTTGCCAATAATGATAATGCATGCTTTAATATGAAATATGCAATCTAGTTTTTTAATAGTAAAATGTACTGTTTATTGACCATTATTGGGGTTCTTGCAGTCTTAAAAAAATAGATTTTGGTTGTGTTTTTTAGATTAATCTAATGGGAAAGGTAGAGCATAGATCTATAATTAAGATACTAATAATACAATTATTATCATATTAACAATTAACTAATTTGAAATCAAATTTGGACATAACATAAAATCCACAACTTTATTTATTTCAATCTATAGCTAATACCCACTAAGTCATATAATTCAAGATTGATAATCCATATTAGGTTATAAAATATGAAAGCCCTTTAATATAAAAACTCATTTTTTTTTTCTCCCAACTATTTATGTCTTTACTACCAAAACAAACAAATGAGATTGTTTCGACTTTGGTATAAACTAAGAAAAAGTTTTAGTGATGGAGAGCTAATTATGTTTATCTCCGTAATTAGGTACGTCAATTCTTAAAATTATTTACCGTAATTTCTAACTTCCGTGTATAATTAAGTTCATGGACACTATGTTAAATCATTATTAACTTATTAACAAAAAAAGGTTCCAATTCTTGTTAATCATTATTTGCCAACTGATATTATATCATTTAAGGACCTTATTACATCTTAAATTACAAACCTAATTAGTCTAAAGTTGTACCCACTCGAATACAATAATTAAATACTTATTCACTTATATTACTCTGTACTTCATATTTTACATGCTCTTTCAAAACAAAATAAATAGAAAAAGGATATGATAATGAACATTAATTAATTACATATTGTACATAATCACAAATAAAAAGTTAATGAAAATATACACAATGTTACAAAATTATAAATTCTTAGTTGTTGGTGGATACACCTTAGGTGCACTCACAAAGTTAGGACTTCATGTTTTTTTATTTTTTTTTTTGGTTTTTTTATCATAAAAAATTTCCAACAGTAAAATAAATAAAGCGAGTACAATAAATATACTTAACTTTGAATATATTCAAGAACGAAATAACAATACTCCACAAGCAAGATAAATATTTATAATTTTAGAAAAATATATAACGTCTCACAATAAATTAACGCGACAATTTTTTATTTATTTTTTTTGGTATTCAACCCGGTTTCAGGATCATTTTGGGTAATTAGGTTCTAGTCTCCTTCCAATTATTATTGCAGGGGATTGAACACGAGTCCTTCCTAACAAGTGTTTCGACACGAGACGGATTCTATTTCCTTCTAAATGGGAATTCAATGAGATTCATCTTTTGACAAATTCTTAGGCAATAAGTAATCCAGTACTCGAAAGCAAGTATCTTTGATTGATTCTTTACCACAATTGCACTAACAACACAACAATCCTATTACAAGGGAGACGATCAACTCAGCATGTCCAACTTTTCCAAGAATATGACGCCCTTTGCTTAGTCTAGCTACCCCAATTCGTCTCCTTTTTACCCTTGTTCCACTGTTATTCATTCATATTCGACCCACTTCAAAAAAGATAAAGCTATCTCAAAAAGGAAACCCAAGAAAATTATTGAAAATTCTATTAAGAAATGTTTTTGCTTTTTGGGTTTTATAAATATCAACTTGGTGCTTCATCTTTTGCTTTGTTTTTTCCAATCAAATTAATGGGTACTTGTGATTGCCCACTTAAGATTCTGGGGTTTTCATCTGTTTTTAATTACTTTGCAAAACCCAGAATAGATTATGCTTCTTGCTGAGAATTTGAGGTATTTGATGATTTTTTTCTCTTACACTTGTTTAATTCTTTGTGTTATTTTGATTGTTTTTGCTAAATATTGTTCATTGTTTGTGGTTAAGATTATTACTTTGGACTTTGTGTTTGTTATAATAGATATTTGTGTGTGTTGTAGAAATTTTGGTTACTTTGCTTATTGATTGATTAAGTTTATGATTGTGGGGGTTTGTTTATTGTATGAAATTGTATTTGGTATGTGTTATTACTGAAACTTAGGTTGCTGTTAGGCAACATTTGGAAGTTGGTGTTAGTGTTTAATCATATATTTTTACATTTTATATGCTCAGGAAGTATTGAATTATTGTTAGGAAGTAAGATATCTACAAAATCACAACATCTACATCACTACATGTTAGCATTCGAATGATCAGTTCTCACTCGGACTTGTTTGTTTAGTTGTATGACTGAGTTGGTATCAACTTGGGAGCACTTTCTCTGTTTCTCTGTTTTTATGGTAGTCAGTAATAGAATCCTTTAGTGGTGTTATGCATTGATTGATCGTAGTAACAGTGATCAGTTAACTTCAAAACATCCAATATGAAAGCTCAGAATATCAAGTCTTGTGGAGTAGTTGTGATTTTTATTTGTTGTAGAGGGGAGGGCTGAGGAGTGTTGGTGGTGTAAGAAGGGGGCTTGATGGTTTTGCAATTGAATATGGCTGGTCAAAAATATGTCCAAATCTTGCTAATTTGCTATAACTATGGGAAGTATTAAGATCGAGGTTTGATTTTTCAATTAGAGATTAATAATCGCTGAATCCCTCAGTGATGCTTATGTACATAGATATTCAAGTAGAATTGTTTATTAGGCTTGGATGTTTAATCTTTGTTGTCTTGAGGTTTCTTCTGTGTAAGGCACTGGACTATTTGTGTATACTCCCCAATTATTGTTGGAAAAAAGAAATTTTCATAATCATGGCCTCTTCATAAAATGTTTTCTATGTCATAGTTCACCTTAGAACATTGCAGAACCTTTTTTCTTTTAGTTGGCAGATAAAGGGAAGTCATTGTCGAGATAACTTCTTTTTTTTTTTTTTTTTTTTTTTTTTTTTTTTTGTCTGAACTTATTAAAGGGACGCGAAATTTCAAGTGCGGACAGTACCTCAAGAATTACTTTCATAAACAGGTCATTGATGGAAAATGTTACATTTTTTCTCAAGACTGTATTCTCAATATGATTACAAATTTTGACTGCATAGGGAATTATGGTTTTTTAAACCCTTAAGTTTAAAAAGTATGAATTACATGTGCATAGCTGATGCGTCTTTAGACTTGTCTTCATTGTCTGTGACTGCCTGTCACACTAAATAATTGATCTCCAAAGTTGCTTGATGTTTTGTCAGCCTTTTACCCTTTCTGCAGTTTTTGCTTGTAGTTATGAGTTGAGTCATTCAAGTTTCTTAGTTTTCTTGGGTTTTGCTTTTTCTTGTGTTGGCTATTTAAGTTTCCTTTCTTATTTTGTAGATCATGAGCTCCACCACAATTCAAGTTACCAACTCTGCAACTATGGGAATATATGAATTACCTAAAGCAATGAGCATGTGGAGGGATACCTCAAAAGCCTTGATGACTTCCGGTGCAGGTACATCTTCAAGCACACAGGCGGAATCTGGACATGAGAATAAGGTGAAAGTCAATGATTATTTCTGTTGCCAAATCCAAGCATTCTTGTTTCAAGCTATTCTAAAGGGCTTTTTTTTTTCTTTTTTTTTTTTTTTTTTTTTTCTCTGTGCTCAGTGTGAATATGAGTATGTTTCTCCTGAGATGATGGAACCGTCCTTAAGTGTTGAAGATGCAGCAAGACTTTCTGAGAAGGTATTATAATTTGATTTCCGTTTCTTGTGTCATGTATGTGAGAGGTCCTCAATTTTAAGTTGTGAAGCCTAAATGTTCATGGTGAAGTTTAAGATTAGCCTAAATTGTAGTAGTTAGTTTGTTTCCTTTTCATCTCCTCTAGTTCTGAATTTCTCATGAGACTGGTTATGTAGTGATTGTAGTCACATTAGTCTTGATTGTTATAGTCAGGAGAGAAACAAAAAATGAGGGAAGGGGTTAAGAACTTAAGATGGTAGAAACTGATTCTAAATCGTTATAAACAACTGATGTAGCATTGTTATAGCATGCCATCTAATGTATTTTAACATTATCATTGAGCATCAAAGAGGTTTAGTAAAGTGTATCCAATCCAACTCCCATTTTAGCCTGCTTGTCTAACTTTGTTTTTCTTATATCCGAGAACATATCTCTGGTTTGAGGTACACTTGCTTCGTTTAAAAATCTCGTAATGTTCAGGGCTGTAAATTCTGATGATAAAAACGTGGTTGCAGGTTCAAAGGCGTTTGGCACAAAATCGTGAAGCTGCAAGGAAAAGCCGTATGAGAAAAAAGGTACATAGGTCTGCATATTGAGGAAATAGCTTATAAATCTATGCACTATTGAATTTTCTGGGTAAGTCTAATATGCTTTCATTCTTACAGGCTTATGTTCAGGATTTAGAAAGTTGTCGTTCTAAGCTTGCTCAGTTAGAGCAACAAATTCAGCAAACTAAACAACAGGTAAGGTTTTTTTTTTTCATCTTCATCAAAACCTGATATTACTCGTGACATTGTGAGGCTCATATGATTTATAAATGGACTGGTGAATTGACTGTTACAGAACTCGTATGTTGGGGCTGCATTACATGCTAATCTTGGATTTGCAGGACATATCAGCACAGGTTTGTGTTTTTTTTTTTTTCGTAGTTTATGATATGTTTGCATGCTGCAGGCTTCACTGATTGACATCTATATTTTCCATCTATGGTTTCATTGTCATCAATTTATAATCTGACTCCACCTTCATGTTTATCATCGAGTTCAGATTTTTATCCATAGTTATTGCCATCTCTTTGCTATACATTTTAGTATTTTACTATATGTTTTAATTTGTTCGATGTTCTTCTCTGCATTTATTTTTGTAGTATAATTTGATACTGTGATTTACTCATTTACTCACTAAAGCTGTACCACCATTTATATGATGTTATGCCAATTTCTGATTTACCGATCTATTGATACTTAGTGTAAGTAGCTGCTGATATTGATTTGTGTAGCTGGTCATTGACTGCTTATCATCTGCAGGATTATCCACATTTGAAATGGAATATGGACACTGGGTTGAAGAACAAAATCGGCAGAATTGTGAACTTAAAAATGCTCTACAAGCTGATGTGTCTGATGTTGAGCTGCGAATCCTTGTAGAAGGTGGCTTGAATCACTATTACAGCCTCTTTCGAATCAAAGCAGATGCAGCAAAGGCTGATGTTTTCTACTTGTTGTCTGGCATGTGGAGAACATCAGTTGAGCGGTTCTTTCTCTGGATTGGAGGATTCCGGCCATCTGATCTCCTAAATGTAATTCCTTGTTTTATTTCTGTCTTAGCTTTTAATACCATAGCAGGTTATGCATCTGTGGAGCTGGGGGAGATATAAATATAAGCTGAAACCAAAAAGAACACTAATTTGAAGGGTAGATAAAGTATGTATAGGTTTGAAATCCTTTGAATGCTTCTTTCTATGGGTATATAAAATTATAAAGATAAAACCTCTTGTCTAATCCTTAACATTCCAACGTCCTGTAATGATGGATATGGATATACGCTAGTTGTTTCTTTTTGTTGCATTGATACCTGCTGGCTGTGACTTTCTAAGCTTATGAGTCATCTTCCTCTGTCTAATATGAGTGTTTTTATAGAGAAATTTCCGTTGATGTCCTGCTAGAGAAAGTTGGATGCTCCTACAAGTGACTTCACATTTTTAGCATTCTTCATCGGATATCTGATAATAACTTGGTCCCATAATTTGTAATCATCTTGCTATTACATGAAGTGCCAACATAACTCATTGCCTTGTTTTCTTGCACTTGAGCAATTTGAGTTGAGTTGATGTTGTTAACTCATAAAACATACTCCCTCAGTCTCAATTTTATCTTGCACTTATGCTTTGGCACTCCTATTTGTATGCAAGATGCGAACTAATATATTGAAAGTGGATAGAGAGATTATTAGAAAGAGAGAATTTTTTTCCTATTAAGGTAAGAGTGTAATTAAATGGGATGGAGTAAGAATTTTAAGTAGATAAAGTTTGAGACAGGATGAGTACTTATTTGTTTTTCTTTGGATGCGTGTCAAATTGATGTAGTTGCTTCATTTGAATCCGTTTTGGTACCAAAGTCCTTAAAGTTGTTTATAAGATTTCAATGTATGGTTTATTGCAGATTCTTTTGCCACAACTTCAGCCCTTGAGCAATCAACAAATGGAAGAAATTAGTAAACTACAATATGCATCCCGACAAGCTGAGGAGGCCCTGTCAAGAGGGATGGATAAACTCCAGCACACTCTAAATGACATCATGTTCACCGATCCGATGGCTGTAGAAGTGTACGGCTATCAGATGACCTCCGCATTGGAGAAGTTAGAAGCTATAGAAGGCTTTGTGAACCAGGTAATTCACTAATGCACGTCATCTCCCATTCTTGACATCATCTTAATTATTCAATGAAATCTTAATATGTAGTTGCTTGTCATGTGGTGTTATTTATCTCATCTTTTATTTGCTTTGACATTCTGATTGCTCACTTCACTATAATAGCTACAATACTTGATAGTTTGGACCTTCGTTTGGGAAACAGGGGAAAACTAGAGTGTTGCAGTTGCTTTCCATTTTTCCATATATACTTGGTTTATAGTAGGTTTTCTTGATGAAAGTTGTAAAAGAAAAAAAAAAAAAAATCTATTTGATGAGAGGCATGTCAAACAGTGGTATGTGTCTAAATGTCAGACACGACTATTTCATGAAAATTTCCGTGGTCTAAAAATGAAGTGCCAAGTATCTATTCCATGTCAGGGTGTTGATGATCCAACACAAGTAGTTGGGGTGGAACAAAGAATCCCAGGTAACATAGATCGGTAAGTAGAAGCCAGTTTGGAGTATTTTAAAACATGGACGAACTACTTTGGTCTGCCTAAAGGCGGTTGAGTAACTGTCATTTATTACATGTCAACCAATGACCTCAAGTGTGCTCATAGCTAATGCTGCAACCTGTAAAGTATAATAACTTTGCTGTTGGGGGAAGATACTTAGATTGGTAAAGAAAACTTGTCATTAGAAGTAGGTAGCAGATGGAACGGGATGAGAGAACTCAATTCAATTTTAGTCTATATATTGTTTTGTATGCCTGTCATAATTTGTCTTGTCAATCCAATTTCTCAAAATTTTCTTGTTAAACAGGCTGACCATCTGCGTGAGCAAACCCTACAACTAATGTACCGGATCCTTGATCCCCGTCAAGCAGCCAGAGGATTAGCAGGATTAGGGGAGTACTTTAGTCGTCTCCGTGCACTCAGTTCACTTTGGGCTGCTCGTCCTCGTGACCCGGGCTAGTGAAAGTGAAGCCTACTGGAGTCAGCTTCTTGGTTACTGTACATGGATAATGGCTGCATCCGTCAGTCCACAGTTCAACATGTATCTATAATAGAGCACTTATTCCTTCCATCCTTTTTCTTTCCTCTAGAAGTAGTGGAGTTTCTACAATAACGTTTAGCTTGTAAATATGTTTATGGCGTGTCTAGAATGAGGAAAAGTTATGGTGGGTTGGTCGGCAGATGTACAGTGAGCGATATTGATCATTGAGGTTGGGCTGTTTTACTTGCTGTACAGAATCGATCAATATCAATGAGAGTTGGGCAATGGTACTTACTACTGAAAATTTGTTTGATGACAATGAACAAGGTGCATGTATTGCGCAAATTTGTAAGTTTTATCTTTATTACTTAAGGTATGTCAAATGATAATTACATCTTCTTCTATGTTCTTCGTCAGCATATGCTGGTGGATCGGTTACATAAAAAATTCTTATGCAGCATAGCCATAGCACTTGCTACTAGATATTGACACAGGTCTTCAATTCATTGACCTACTTTTTAAAGACATTGTTTAGCTTAGCTATCCTTCATAGTGAGCTATGTTGTTGTAGCTATGGAATCATTGTGACTCATACAGCTGAACATTATGCGAGTCCTTATGCAATAGTCGTCCTCATCTTAAGATTTGATCCAGCCATCCAGGGTGCACTAATCTCCAGGAGTGGATCATTTCCTACTCTTAAGGTATTTGGAGAGAAGGGCATCTTTGGTACAGGGTGATCTTAAGAAGAAATAAGGTTCATCTTGTTTTGCAGTTTGGTTAATCCTCCATGTTTAATCCTTTAATGATTACATTGTTTTTATTCACAAAAATATTTTTTTAAAAAAATTACACTAATTTGGGGAGATGTTATAAGAATTTAGTAAAATAGTTTATCTAACATGTGTCAATGACTACATGGATTACCAATGTTTTTGGTGTCAAATTAAAAGAAAAACTTTATTGACAAAAGATTATACTGCGTATAAGAGAATGATGAACCTTAAATAAATTTTTTTAATTTTTGTAAATGTTAGGGTTGGTGACTGAACAACGAAAGCAAATTAAAAATGTATAGGGAATTTGTAGGTATATTAGTTTGGCGGAAAATTACAAGGAGGGTTTATGCATTTGTGTGTGGCTTTTTGTGTATTTGGCTTCTTGTTGTTTTTGTATATGCCAAACTCCCTTATATTTAAAGTGGTACATGTAGATAAAGTCGGCAAAAACCTTCAAGATATTATTCTTGATCCTTTAATACTATAACTATCTAGCTTCTTTTCCTTGAGTTGACCGACATTACTTGTTTTGCGTAGAACGGACTCACGGGAGTCTAGTTTATAAGCTTCAAACACACCACCTCCATTTTTACAATCCTTCATTCATCACCATTTTTTTCACATTTTCTCTCTCATCCTCATTCGGATCCTTACCTCATTGTAGAAGCTTCTTTCTTCTTCTGCAATGGCGGACTCTGTTGAACGCAAACCTCGACGACCGCTGCCACCGCTGATACCAGCCTCTTCGCAGCCAATTGATTGATTATTGTGAAATCATATCCTGCTAACATAACGCCAAGTACTCACCAGCTAATTAAATGCAGATGTTTCAGTTTCCACATCCATCAAAGAACAAAACAATTAAACAGATTAGATATGTATTATCGTAAAATTAGAATCATCTTACACTTCAACACTTGTAATACAATAATCTAATTGAGTGGGTGATAATAGGCTTATATTAATTATCAAAAAACATCTTTGGATTACATACATGTTTTGGGATCATCCAAAGTAGCATATAGTTAATCGCGTGGTGTTGCTTCCGAATATTATGTAATATCTGATACTTATTATCTAATACCTGACCAATATTATCTAATTTCTGACATGTATTATCTAATTTCTGCTGATACTTATTATCTAATTCTTACCAATATTATCTAATTTCTGATACGTATTATCTAATATCTGACCAATATTATCTAATATCTTATCATAATTATCTAATTTCTAACCAATCTTGAGGGGGCAATTTGTAGGCACAGAAATTTTATCAAGTGTCGTTACATATTGTTCGTGTCAAACTCAAATTGTTGACTCGGGTAAATTGACTAAATAATTAATCTGGGTTACTTTGGCCCATGTTATTTGTTTTAGTTAGACTCATTTAATTATTAATAAAGTCCAATAAATTGGATTTGGTTATAATTTAAATGGGTTATTTAGGAAAGGAGGTGGAAGTGGATATAAGGCCCATTTAATGGTCACCTTAAAACCCTAGCTTGGGAGAACTCTATAAATAGAACTCTCCCCTCCCTCATTTCACACACATAAAAAAAATCCAGAGAAAAATCTCTCTACAGGAAAACCTCTCTACTAAAAACCCTCTCTAAACTTCTCTAAAAAAAACCAATCTCAAGAACTAGAAGAAGAACAACAAGCATCGGACGTGCCGTTCCATTCTAGAAGACCAACCTTGATTGAGATCAAGCCTTTTTCGGCCCTCTATCAAGCAATTCCAATTCCGACTACAACAAATTAAGTCATCTAACGACGTAGCGTGGAGATCGAATCAGTGAATTACACTAGAGATTGTACTCAAATTTGTTATATTAATAAAAATTATATTTTTTGCATTTTATTTTGACTATCTTGCAGACTCAAAATTTGTGTTTACAGAGAGAAAGTGAGATTTAACATCCTCGAAAGAAAGAGTATCATTATTGCCATAAAGCATAATTTCCATGAAGTATTTATACGAAGGTGGTAGAGATAACACGGCCTTATCCTCATCTTTGATTTTAAAATCTAAATTTCAAAATTAATTATAATTGAATTAAATTCATCAAGTTTGAATGGAATTAACTTCATCCATTCGAATAGTATAAAGCCTTTTTTTAAGGTGAACCTTGTTAGTGAGGTTTTTAGTCATAACGGCTTTCATCCGAACTTTCCAGATGCTGAAATTAATCTTACCGTCAAATTTATCAATCTCGAACTTCGTGACCGAAGACATCTTTAATGTGTAAACACTCAAATCAACCTTTGGCTCTAATAACACTTGTTAGAGTTGGTGAGTGCATAGCAGAAGCAAATTAAAGATGTATAGGGAATTTATAGGAATATAAATTTGGCAGTGAATTACAAGGAGGGTTTATGTATTTTTTTTTAGACAACAGCTACAAATAAACACACAGAAATAACTTAGCCAGTTATTATGACCCTATGACCATTTCACGAGCTACAGACTCCATTAAAGCGCTATTACAGTTAATATCGTTATCAAAGTACGGATTAGGAACTAAGGGAAAAGCTTAGAAGATCATAACTTCTTTTCTTCCTTGGATGGCTAAAGTAATCTTGTGAAGGAGAGGGTGAATCTTTCCTTTTGTCTCCTATGCGATACCTGCAAATATGGGGTGTGTGGAATGGGTGAGGGGGTTTTAAGGGCGTGGTTATAGTTTTGGGGGTGGATGCGGGATGGTTTCGTGGGTGTGGAGTGGGTTTTAGGGTGGTTACAAGGTGGGGTTTTGGAGTTGCGGATGGTTGAGCGGTGGATGGGAGGAACGGGAGGGGCTGTAGAGGTGGTTAGGGGTTGGAAGGTTCAAAGGGGGATAGGCTTTGAGGGTGTTGTAGACTTGTGGGCGGTGGCTGACTATTAGGGGAGGGTAGGAGAAAGAATTTTATTTATTTATTTTTTTTTTAAAAAAAAGGTATTTTTGTAATTAAAAATCAATTCTTTTAAAAAAAAGAAAAAATTAGAAATAATAATCCCAACTTTTACAAATTTTGTTTCAATAATCCCCACTTTCGATTATTGTAGAATAGTCCGAACTTTGGGGGTTGTTGATTTTCTTCAATCCCAAAAACCGGTTACCGGTTGAATGGGTTTTTTTTTATTTATTTTTTGTTAAAGTGACACGTTTCGCATATTTATTGGTTTAAAAATTTTAAAAAGAAAAAAAAACAAAATTTAAAAAATGACAAAACCACCCAGCCAAAACCCCAACCACCCTTAGAGAACTGGTACCCCGCTTATCTTAGCCACCTCCCTCATCAGACCGCCGACCCTCCCCCACCATTACAGTCTCCACTCCAATAGCTACCCTCTAAACCACCATCCCCCCTCCCCGAAACCCCCACGCAACCACCAACAATAAAACCCCTCCCATACGCCCACCACCCAAACCCCAAAAACCACCGGCCTAACCCCAAATTACGGCTGCTGCTATTTCCCCTCTTCTGCGCTGGCTTTCCTCCTCCCACCGCAGCGATTCTGCGACCCACCCTCACCCATTAAACCTCCCTTTCCATTCCCCTACTTTGAGATCGAAGTGCTGGCGGGATGAAATCGGTGTTGTGGAGTCGGGGTTGTGTTACGGAGCAGATGCTGATCGGGAAATACTTGGTGGTGGGCGGTGTTGGTCGAATTTGGTTGCGATTGGGGAGTTTTTGGGAGGTGGGGGTGGATTACCTTGGTGGTTGCGTGGGATGGTTGTGTTGATGGTTGCGTGGGTGTGACGCGGCGGTCCGATGAACTGGGTAGTAGTGGTGAAAGGAATGGTGTTATTCGAACAAGTGTACTATTCCGTTAGTGGGTTCAGAATTATTAGAAAGCTAATATATTCAGTGAGGTCAAGTGATCGGAATGCCTGGGTGGAGGCCGCTTCCAATCAGTAATATTAATGAATAATTAATATTACAACTTAATCTTGACTGAACCCTTCGGGTCACACCCAAGCATTCAACAAACCGAAACGACGAATTAATTCGGAAGGAATTAATGAGTCGACCGAGTAATGTTTATTTAGACGACGGAAATTCGAGCTTAGAGCGTCGAAACCGAGCGTAGGAAGTCGAGTCGAAAAATAGTGAAAGACGAGACGAGAAATAGTAATAAATCAACAAAAGACCAAAATACCCCTAGCATCGGAATGCCCAAGCAAACCGAGTGCTAAGGGTGTATGTCCTAACATGGTGGCCAGCATGCGCACCAAGCCGAGCCTAGGCTGGCTGGTGCGTGCTAACGCACCCATGCTAGCATCGCAAGGCTAGGCGCTGCCTAGTGCGTGCTAGCATGCTAGGCACAGCCTTGTGCGCGCAATGGCTAGCAAGCCATGCCGCAACAAGCTGCAGCAGCTAGCACGCTAGGCGCGCCAGCTCGCCACAGCTAGCAGCAGCGTGGCTAGGCTATTGCTTGCTGCTTAGCAGCGCTGGCCAAGGCACAAGGCCAGCAGCAGCCCGCACAAGCATGCTGGGCTTGCTGGCCAGCAGCGCCTGGCAGCCCGCATGCGAGTGCTGGGCCTGCTGGGCTTGCTGGGCGTGGCTGCCTTGGTGCCCAAGGGTGGGTGCCATGTGGCTTGTGGTCCTTGAGTGTGTGTGGAGTGAGGTGGCCGGTTATG